AATTATACCTGTCCCTCCAGGGAAAAGTTTAATTACATTACAAATTAATTTTACTTAAAGATTTGTTGGGAAAAGCCTACGGGTCTGCATTGATTTATTTTTCCCGTGGTCTTTTCTTTCAACTTTTCTGTTCTTGAATTGTTCTGATTAGCTTTCTCTGCTTGATATTCCATATTGCTGCAACTGCTTTGGAAAAGGAACTGTAGGAGCTTTCGAAAGTGGCTTGGGATTTCTTTAGTCTTATTGAAAGAGTTGATGAAAAATTATTTGAATTTTTGGGATATGATGAATAACAGGTCATACTTTATGCCCCTGTAATTATCCCCAAATTAGATCAGAGATTTCCCTTCTCTGCATGGAAGGGACTCCAGTGCCAAATTGCAATAGGAGTTTTCTCATACTGCACACGGACACATGGCATGTTCTGCTCACTGAAGCATAGACCTTCAGTTACAGAAGTTGCAGTTCCCTATAAAACTATATATTTCATGCAGTCACCTATAATTGTCATCTGTTAGGGTTAATTTCCAGCATTGCCAGTATTCTCAGAAAGAAGAGACTTCTGTCAGAGGACAACTCTATAATCTAGCCTAGAAAAGCATCACTGAGATCTAGTAGCAGCAAAGATGCATCTTCAACTGAGGGCAACAGACCAACAAAATCCGTAGTGTGGGCACTGAGTGCAGGTGCAGCGTTAAGGGATTTTCAGTCAGGACTGTGCCCTTTTAAAATACGTGCTGTAGCTCAAACAGAAGTTGCAAACCTGATGTGGAAACAGCAGAATGCATTTCTGTGCCCTGTGCTATGCAGGTGGCCAGCAGAGATGGTGCTAGTGGTGGCCTCCTCTTCCTAAAGCTGTGGAAGAAGGCTGGAGCCAGAGCTCTCTGCCCTCCGCGGGGTGGGCTTTAGGGACCTTGGTGAGAAGGTTTTGGGACTGGATCAGTAAGGTTTCACTCGGGAGCCCTCTCATCAGTCTTCCCTTCCCCTGTGGCTGCCCTTCACGAAGCAGCGCTCTCCATGTTTCTCCAGCTAACACTACAGTGATCCTTAACTTGCTCTTAAATTTATATCTATCTAAAAACAAGATCCAGAATGTCTTCTTTATGATAAATACAATATTTGAAAACAGTATTTTAGCCATTATGGCCTGAGAATGTCTTCCCTGCGTGCCATGCAATGCTGAACCATGTGTTTGGTCCAATTAGGCCTTTTTTGATGATATTGTGTTTGCCTTTGAAGGAGATAGCCAGCTCCCTTCAGATATAAATATGCAACATTTGCAATTGCGAGGAAAACGCTTTCTGAACTGAGCATATTTGTTTATGTCCATTGAACATTTCACGTCTGCTTTGTCAAAGAGGAGGAAGTTGTACTTCGCCGAGGTTCTCCTCCTGGTTGGTTCAATGTGCGAGGAGGATGAGGAGAGGAAACCAAAGCATCAGGCTCGACACCTGCTCCTAATGACATTGGACTTGGAGATGAGGCAGAAATGGAATTAATCCATGGGTGATTGACAAAAAAGAGCCGCTAACTATCTAGTTCAAACGTATAGGGCAAAAAGATGCTAGCACAGCCTTTGCCAATAGCACAAATTTGAAATTAAATAAGAGTATTTGTATCAAACTTTCTTTCCTTAAATCACATTACAAAATGCTTCTGCTTAAGGCAGATTAAATTACATGTGGGGTCTGAATACCAGGAGATCCAAACAGTGAAATTGCATTTTCAATTATATGGGCAGGGCCATGTCAGAAGAAATCGTGTTTCTGATCCGTCCACTGGAGAAGCTGATTCATCCCAAGTCAATGCCTTCTGCCCAAGGGGTTCACTATGGCCATATTTTCCTTGCTTCCATTCCTTGTCCTCATAGTGCTATGATTTGTAGCATCTGGTACCTGCTAAAATACAGCTATTGCTGCCTGTTATGAACTCTGATCTAGATGGAAGTCATCAGCGTTGAAAGGACAAGTTGGGTGGTTCTTTCAAGAGCAGCAGAAGGATGTTGTTTCTTGGATGTTCTGAGTTTCTAATTTTCCTGTTGTTTGCTTTTTTTTTTAATATTTCTTGATTCTGTGTTACTTAGAGATGGCAATTTCTAGTGCTTTTGCTTTTTCTCCTATGATATTCTGGTTTTGCACGCGTGTTTGCAGGATGTGCCAGTCCGATGATGGAACATTGCACTTGATACCTGGTTTTTGCCCATGCTTCTGCTGGATGGATGACTGAGCATTAATCCTTGTTTCTTTCCTCCTTTTTCTTCTTTTGAAAGGATGGTAATTGTCTTGGCAAAGTGTACTGAGATCTGTTGGTGAAAATTACAGTAAAAAAACCCCTACCTAGTATTTTTGTTATTCTGTGAAAGAATACGGGGTGTACGTGAAATGTAACTCTTAAAGGTGAGTCTGGTGGATAGATAAGAGGATAAGAATCTCCCTTCCAGAGTGAGATATGATGCAGGTGGAGGCTGTGCAATGCTTCCTGTAGGTCTGATCTACAACCCCTCCCTACAATTTAAAGTTTTGTCTGCTAACTAAGCAAGGCCACCAGTTTCAAAGCATTGGTTTGATAGCAATCCTTGTGATAGGGAGACTTTACACTGAAGTCATTCCAATAAGCACCGTCGGGCTTGCTGAGCTCTGCTGAGCGTGAAACCAAAGATGGGAGCGATAACTTCCCAGCAAGGCAGAGACTCTTGTCAGCACAAATGCTGGTACAAACTTTCCCTCTGGGCTAATGACTGAAATAGGTGACAGCAGCAGCGCAAATTCTTCCACGCCCAGAGAAGATGCATCTGCTTTATTGGGGGAGTTTTGCCTTCTGTTTCTTACCATTTCCAAAGTACGTAGGGTGCAGAATGGAAGTTCAACATCTGACCTGAAAGGTAGTTTAAGCTTCTGATTTAGAGGGCCAGCTATTAATAATTAAGGATTTAAACATTCTTGCTACTCCGCAACTATGATCTTTTTAATTATGTGCAAGGAAATTCAATACCACCGAACATGGGGTTTTTAAGTTTCTGTATTTTGATGTTATTGGACTTGTCAGCCATCTCATTTTATGCCTGACATTGGTTCACCTGGTGCATTTCTAGCACCCTCTGCACTCGTGTAGTCAGATGGATTGCCAACGTAACTGCGGATAACTCCCTACTCTGGGATCCCTTGTGGTGGAAACAACTGTTTGCTTACTGAGCTGTTGCATCTGATGTCAGAAAGGAGAGAAAAGCTGTAGCATGGTGCAGGTGTGAACATGCTTCTCCTCAAAGTTCCAGGCTCAAAGGGCGATAGAGGTGTGCCGCTCCTTCACGTGAGCGTGCCTTCCCCTGAGCACTGAGATCCAGCGGATGGAGCCTACCTCTTAGTAGAAAAAGGTTGAGAAGCCTGCAGACCTCGTGCTTTGTCCCCTTATTCCTCAAATGTGAACACTTTGTCCTTGATAATCTCCTTTAATGATATTGCTCTTATTTTCAAGGAGAGTGAGTCACATGTTAAAATTAATACCCTCTTGGTATTTCTTCCCCTTTTGCAAATGTTGGCAGAAGTGTCCTTGTAGGCTCCTCATTGAAGTGTTAATAAAACCTTTCTCATCTAGTCAATGCTTCCTGGATTTCAGTTAACATTATGCCCATGGTATTTCACGACTGTCTTTCATTTAAAATTTAAAACCCCTTTTTATTTTTTGATAATTGAAGCTGTATTTTTCAAGCAATTTCAAAAGACAAGCAGCAATACGAGATGGACCTAGGTGAACCACGCTTGCTCAGTATGAATGTGCAAAGCTCTGAATGGAGTGAAAGCCATGCAGTTTGAAAGGACCCTCGTTTTCTCCGCTCTCACCCCACACTTGTTAGCTGAAACCACATTGCAGGAGGTGTACAAAGCACCTGGAATTCAGGATTATCTAGCTGCAATTTTCCTTGTTGCAGCTTGTACCCATTGCCCCTTGTCTGTCTGAGTGCATGTTTGAGAAAAGTTTGGTACCACCTTGTCTTTATCATTCCTGGAATCGAAAAAATGAAATTACAGAAGGCGACTTTCCTGCAGCGTCTCCACAGAACCTTCTGCAGTGCACTAAGCAATGCGATTAATCTCTACCCTTTGAAGTTTGATTCTTTTCCTCATCTTTTCTCTAGAAGGAGAGGTTTGCCTTATGCTGCCTGGTTTGTTTTGGTAATGTGGAGGGGTTTTGCCCTTTTTTGTGTTTGTTTTTAACAGTCCATTGTTTCTGTTGCTTATTGGACTCCAGATCTAAACTTGCATGACTTAAAATGCCAGAGGCAGTGTTTTCTGTAGCTTCAAGTCCTAAAAACTTGATCTGGAAATTGGAGTCTCCAGCTATGTTCTTTTTGCCCTTTGTTTCATCATAGGTGATAGATTTTCCCATCAAAAGCTTCACAGCCTATTTGCCTATGATATGTGAAGCAGAAGGAAACAGAACTTGCTCTTCCATAATTATATGGTTATACAGGCATAATAAAAATAAATGTGGCTATGTGCTAACAGTAGATACAACACCTCTGAATATGAGCTTTCAGAAGCAGCAGTTCTGTTGGGTATGAAGGTATTTTTATCATGAGAGGATGTTACAAAACCTTACACTCTGCTCCCAAAAGTGCCCGTCTCACATAGGTACGGAAGTCCCAAACATATATTTGCAAAACAATATCTGTGCAATTAAATTAGACCTTTAGAATATTAGATCCAGAGCCTTCTTTTGAAATTCCTTTACAAAGATGATGAGAATATTATTTAATGCTCATGCCAACCTTCCCACAGTACACATGAAACATTGCCTTCACAGTTCTTAAAAGCTGAATACAGCTCATGTGCATATAGAAATAATTACATGAAACTGTCCTCAGGGTCTTGTTTGCCATTGCAAAGGGATTTTCTTCTGGCAGGAGGCAGTCTGTGTTGTGAAAAATTGCCATTGTTCCCTACATGAAGAGATCTGCCTACCAAGGTCTTGTGGACTAATTTAATCTCTTTTCCTGTTTCTAGATTTCGCAGAGTTTGTTTTTCTGGGTCTGTTCCTTACTGAGATGTCTCTGAAGATGTATGGACTGGGGCCAAGAAATTACTTCCACTCTTCATTCAACTGCTTTGACTTTGGGGTGAGTAGGCTTCAGCTGTGAGGACGAAGTGTGTGGCTCTCCCGTTATTGTATGGGGTTGGGTGTTTAAGGGTGCGTATGGGAAATGCTGCTGTAAGTGTGTCTTCTGCGGGGAGTAGTCATCGTATAAATTAGCTGCAGTGAAACACATTAAGCTTCCCCTCGTTATCATCCTTTTTGAAGAAATGTGATAGCTGGGGATTTCATTTCCTCGGCAAGCTACAGGGTGTTCGCAGCATCAGCGCCAGTAAATGCTCTGATTACCGAGAGATTCTCGCTCCCATTTAAACGAGGTGATTGAAGGACAAAAAACCCCACACGTCTTATTGCTCACCTCCCCTATCATCTATTTAATGGCCTTTACCTCAAGATACATAGGCAGCACTTTTCAGACATGAGTGCCCAGAAGTAGAAGTCTAAATACGTGATTAGGTGACAGAAAGGCAATAACTCACACCCTTGTATTGCAGAAGTACAGGCTCTCCCCTTCGTGCTAAAACTATAGTTTTGAAGTGTGAATAGTGGGGCCGGTTTTGACTCCATTTAACCAAGAACATTGCATGCAGATGTTAATTTATTCATTAAAAGCTATTGGGCTGTAATCTGTCCTCACAGAGGTTAACTCTGCTTTTCTTACCTTTAGTGTGAGCTGAGCACCGCATTCCAGAGCGGGAATCGGTCTATAAGGTTTCTTTAACAAACCAGATATGAAGCTTATGATGCAGGTACAGGCAAGGTGAAAAGAGTTCAGGTCACTGTATGCATCACCCAGTTCTTGTCTCCAAGATTTAGTCTGTTGTTTCTAGTCTTTATCTGCCAAAATTCCAGGAGTGATTCTTTTCCCTTATGGAGCAAAATTCCCTGCTTCAGCTCTGCTTCTGCAAGGGAGGAGGAGGTATTCTTACCTTTGGTATGTGACCACTCCTAAATCCAAGGCTACAGGTAGAGCCAACTTCTCCTCTTTTTGGCAGAGTCAGCAGGAATGCTCGGAGCTAAACAGACTTTGAGATTAAACCATCCACCCCAAGAATGACCTGTGTCCAACAGACTGAGGTGTTGCATCAGGCTGCACCAAGTGTGGGGCTCTCCTCTCTGGGGTGTCCATTGCAGCTTGTGGTGCTCAGAGCATTGAAATGCATCGTGCCGCTCTTTCTGGCTGCGTAGCCCAAAGGACAGTGCACAGTCACGAGAGGAAACTGGAGCACAAATAACACAGGTGATGTAAGATAACACAGAAAATGTAAGTCTGCACGTTCAGAGTTGGCAGAGGGGCAGAGAGGCTCCCCTCAACTGCAGGCAGCCAACTGATGGAGAACTTTAACTGTACTGGCAAGGTGTCCTGCAAAGGCTGGAACAAAGCGTGTGCCCGCAGAATACAAGGGGTCTGTCACCCAGCTTTCGTTGAATTGATGTTGCCTAGTTAGACTGTGAAGGGTAGCATTGCCTTGTTTGCATTGCCTAGTGACGGACACTAGGTTGTTGTCCTTCACCAATACATCAAATAGACTGCGAACTGCAGCCAGTTGCCCTGGATTCTGGTATCCAGGATGCTCCTTCCACAACAAGAAGAGCTTGTTCCTGATGGTCAGGGATGGGTGATTTAGGAGCTTGCATTAAGCAAGAGATAAACCTACCAGGTGTCTCTGCTTTGTGTCCTGCTATGGTGAGTGCAGCACTGGCAATAAGCTTTGCTGAGTGTTTCCCAGGAGGTAAAGCTCTTGATCTGTTTTTAATTTTTCCTCCTTTAGAGAATCCACTGGGATCCTACTTCTAGCTATGTTTCTTCCTCCTCACCCACCTTCCAGCCCCCAGAATTAATTCGACTACTTCACCCCCACTGGAACATCACACAGATCTGTAGTCAGTTTAGTTTGACAAACCATCAAGATGAAACTGTTCAAATGCAAAAAGTGAAACAACAAATCAGGGCAACATCAGTCTTGGGAGAAATGGTCCAGTGGGGTCTCATGTGCAACAACTCCCAGGAGGCCATGTTGAGATGCCAGGAAAATTAATTATCAGTGTAACAAGTGGAGGGTTTAAGGAAAGGTTTTTGCTGAGGGATTCCCAAGAGCCATAGACTGTGGGAGAGAAATTTTAGTTCCTTCTTTTTGTGATGGGAGTGACTGGACGAGCAACTGTTGTATGTCTCCCTTTCCCACTACATTTGCTGATTTTTAAGACATCCAGGTTTCTGTTTATGAAAGGGGTTTCCAAGCTGCTCGGGGTACCCAACACTGCTCAGGTACTCAGGCACAGGTCTGCTTGCCCTGACTTCCCACTAGCACTCCCTCTCACAACACAAACCAGCTGCTCGCTGGGGTCCGGTGATAATGTGTTTATGGTGTGCTTTGTGCAACTGGGGAGCATGGTCCATGGGAGCTCTGAAATGTTAGGTTAATGCAAGTACTAACAGTGATTGGCAGCGAAATGCCTGTCTTCTCTTATTAACCGTGCAGTAACCTGTGTGGATATAATTGCCCTTTCCAATTGTGCTTAACCCATTACTATTTTGTCCTTTTAGTAATAAAGGATTTCAGGGAAGATTTCTTTATCACTTAAGCATAATTCTCTGCCAACCTCTTAAAACAAACAGACAAAACAAAACTTAAACCACCTTGATCGGGGACAATTTTTCAATAACCTGAGGCTGCGGGCCTGGCAGATGGTTGGATGTGCGTGCTAGAGGCTTTGCAGGATCTCTTAATTGCTATTGCCTTAATCACTCTCCTAAAGACTCTCAGTTGTTAGAAGTTTCTGGTAGATCTTGCCCAGAGCTAATGCTTCGCTGTTTTGCAGTTTCGGTGGTTCTGGTGGGAAGGGGAGGATGGGGCAGCGTCGCCCTGCATCTCTGCAGGCTGTACGGACCGACTGCGTGGGGTGGGCAGATGAAGCCTTGGCATTTGCAGTTGAGCCAGTGTAAAAACAAACAAAGTATGGCGTCCTTCAAAAAAGGTTATTTTAAGGCAGTTTGCTTGCTAGAAAAGAAAGCAGCAGTTTCCTATCTGTGATCTCCTATGTGTCTGTCCCACTTCTAGGTCTTTTAGCGCTGTTGGCTAATTCATAATTTTGCTGAAGCCTTCATAAGAAAACTATCACAGACCACGCTCTGATTCTTGTTCTGTCCTCAGCCTCTCTAGAAGCACCACAAAGAACGAAGCGAAAGTTTTGCCTTATGTAAAATGGACTCTTCTTGCAGGTCATCGTGGGAAGTATATTTGAAGTTATCTGGGCTGCAGTGAAACCAGGCACCTCGTTTGGCATCAGCGTATTGAGAGCGCTTCGACTGCTCAGGATTTTCAAAGTCACAAAGTAAGCCCAGCTCCCTTTCTGCTCACATTAGACTTTTAGCACCATATGAAATATATGAAATCTGTATCACCAGCCCCACAGCAAGCAGTAGTGCTTTCCACACTTGTAAAAAAAAAAAAAAAAAAAAAGAATTTAAAAACCTAGAAAACAAACTCAAACCCCGCTGTGCCAGCTGGCATAAAGGTCTTGTCTGTTCTAACATCTTATGTCTGCACTCACCCTATGGGGGGGCAGGAGCAGAAGAAAACTGCAGAAGCAGAATTGCCCTTTCCTTGGCTGGGTAGTTTGGGGTTCTGGCAGCTGAAAGTTTCGGGAGCTCCTGAGCCTGTATTTGTATCCACAAGGCCTTTTGACAACCCTTTTCCCAGCCTTGTGTACAGATTTGTCTATCCTTAGGCAGAGGGCTCCACGACGTAGTGATGGGCTGCATGAGAGCATCCTCCTTTTCTCTGTTTTTACGCTCGCTTAAAACAAAAATCTTGTGAGGTGATTGATCCCTTGTGTCTTGTGGTAAAAGAGGAAAAAAGTTTGTTATTTACTTTCTAAGCCACATCAGCTGCCCACTGTCTTTATCTACTGTTAATCTGGTGATAGTTCCTTAAGTATTTAGGTACTGGAAAACTGAAATACCCTGGTTATTGCTAGATCCTAAATCCTGGTGCCTGGACCACTGCATTGACACAAATATGAAGTGTGTTGCTGCTGCTTGTGCTGTGTCTGGTCTGGGAATGTCTGAGGTCTTCAGTCTTGAGCCTGTGAAGTTGAATTTTCACTCCTGTGAAGCTGAATTTCCACTAAACCTGGGTTGCCACAGCTCTTCAGTTGTTTTCATGCTCATGCGTTGCGTTAATGTGTGCTGGCATTAGCAAACGGCTCCCGTGCGATTTATAAATCCATCTAGAGCAATTTCTGCAGGATTTCAAGATTGTGGTGTGGAAATTGATGACGTATTGAGGTGCTCTTGCTGCTGTTTTCCACCTTTTTTTTTTTTTTTTTTACACCATTTTACACCATTACCTCCTCAGATCTCCCCTCTTTCTGTCACTCTCTTCCTTGTTCTTGGCTTGAAGCAACAAAAGGAGGAATAGCACCTCCCCTCCAAAAAAAACCCAACCACCTCAAATAGATAGAGCACAGGTTATCACATTTGAGGAAAACAGTCATTTGAAGTAACTAGGTACTTCTGCAGTTATTCAAGCTGCACGGGTTTTGTTAACTCAGTAGGGTTTGCTGATGTGCATCTGCTAATTACGCAGATCCAAGATTTGCGTGAGACACTGTCGTTTGTTGTACTGTGGGACAAAGGGGTTGGAAATATAAAATTCAGTAAATGTCCAGCAAAATAGATGGGCGCCTGCCCCTAAAATGTCACTATAGCCTACCTTTGCACTAATCTTGTTTATGGAAAACTCCAGGTTTTGTAGTAAATTCATAGTAATTAATTGTCAGCAGTTAATTTTATCTGGAGCTACTGAGATTTAGTGTATTTGATTGCATGTTGGACTTGTAAAAAAATTTTGAGATTTTTGCAAGTAAAAATTAATCTTTTTGCAAGTTTTGAGTAGTCAGGATTTTAGCCAACATACTAAAAGGATGAAGCCTTCAATTTAACTTAACAAAGCATATCACAGAGCAAGCTGAGTGCTCTCCCCCTTCTCAGGACAGCGAGTGAAATTCTCACCCCACTGATGACCTAATTATGCGGATTTTCCACCTGATGTGACAGAAATGTGTTCATTGCGTTACCAGGAACCAGTTTCCCCCCAGCTCACTCGGCTGTACTGGGTCACGTTATCCCAGTGCCTGAGCTGCACAGCTCAGTCCTAGCATAGCTCGTGCAGAGCGACTGAAGCAATGGCACCAGGCACGGATTGCTACTCATTAGTCTTTACCGTGAAAACATCCTGACCCTCAGTAGTTCTCTTTTTTCCCTTTTTTTTTTTTTTCCCCTTTTTCCATCTCTTTCATAGCAATTTTTCTCTGAAGCTCTCTGCTTTGGTTCCCCCCCCTCCCCGTGTTGAACAGAAGCCAGTTGCAGTCCACCCGCTTTGAATAATCGATGGTATTAGACCTTTTGATTCATATGTCCCGAGTCAGAGTGACTGGAGGCAGCAGAGTGGTGCAATAGCTTAAAAGTTAAATTACAGCCGGCCTGAAAGGTGACGTACTAGGGGATGCAGCCAAAGAGGGATTAAAATTCAAGGAGGACAAGGAGAAAACAGCTTCACGTGTTTTCCCCTTTGTCAGGACAGAACTGAATGGGAGTGGCACCTGTAGAAATGCAACTCCTCATTATATCCTGGCACCCTGTAGCCAGGCAGGGTTTGGTGCTGAGCTATTCCAGGACAAGACAGAGCCTCCACAGGTATTTTGTGTCCGGTTGTGTTAACTGTGAGTTGCGAACCCCTTGCTTGTGGCAGATTTTGCCTGAAGCTCTTGTGTCAAGCTGGGGAGAGCTGTGTGATCAGCAAACCTTCCTCCTCCTCCCAGGAGAGCAGCTCAGCCCCTTTTGCTTAGGGGCTAACCCCGAGTAGGTTTGGTTGCAACATTTTCAATTGAAGATATCCTCCCAAGAGACCAAAGTTTCCCCTGAAACCTCTGTCACTGTATTATGGACGTAACTTTTCTCGGAATGGGTGCAAAGGGAGTGCAAGATCCTGCTTCTCCTGGGGTAGCTGTGTCTGCGTCATCCTCAGCACGGAGAAACGTGGGGTGGTTCAGAGCTACACCTGGAGGAAGGCAGAGGAGGAAAATGAAGACGAAGAGAAGAGAAAAGATGGTGTTTCTGCTCTTCTGACTCAAGCTCTGAGCTGCTCCCCCCCATCAGCAGACAGAAAAATCCATGGGCTTTCTTCTGGTGGATACCCACAGCTGCTCTGCAGGAAGGAGCTCAGTGCACGGGTCTGTCCCCAAAACCGCAGCCGGAGGACACGCAGGGCAGGATGACAGAGCATCTGCTGCAGAGTGTGACCTCTGCATGGCAGCTCCCAGTGCCGGGCAGTGGAAACGAGACAAGTCACTGGAGGAAAAAGAGAGAAAAATTTCCCCCCATGGTGTCAGACTCAAAACTTTCAACAGAGGACACAGGAAATGGCTCTACATCACTCGTTTCCTACTGCCTGCTCCAGCCCCCTCATTCTGTGTGCCTGTCTGTCCAAAAGGAGATCGTCAAAGAGCTCCTCTGCTTAATAGCTCTTTCTGCATTTTCTGATTCATTAGTTTTCCTAATATAAATGCTCCCTGCCTGTTCTCAGCAGGGCAATAAAGCCAGGAGAGAGAGCTGTTTCTGAGCACCCTCCCCGGCACGCTGTCACTCGATGTGCCTGGAGCCTGCGAGTGTGCCAGGAGCCGTCTCGGAGGACAGAGGAGATAAAAGCAAACTAACTTCAGTATCTGGCCGGATGCAACTTGGATGTGTCAGTCAGGATTCTGGCTGAGCCATTCCCTCTTGCCGTGTTGGAGTTAATATCCTGGATTTGTTTTCATCCTCCGAGGCAGTTGCTTAGTCCTGGATGCTTAAACCGTGTGGCTGAATTGCCCCACACTGAAGGCATGGCTGTGCATGGATATGTGTGTTAAACATCTACAGAAATGTTTAAACATGGGTGAGTTTAAGTCCACTTGTGGGTACTGGCATTCGATAAGTTGGAAGGACACACAGCAAAGATGTCCTGGTAGAAACGGGCTGTTTATTCCTGATTCGTGTCTTACAAAGGGGTTCACTGTCCTCACGGTCAGTCTCACCTTGATGATAGCCGTACATCCCTGGTTTTGACACCCCTGCTGACTGCCATGCTGGATGGCAAGAGGCAAAAAGGTTGACATCTATACCAGGAAAGGGGTTACTGAGAAACTAACCGAACCCTTTCACTGCAGACGACTGCTCTGCACGGGTACATGTGCACCGAGGCGACCATCTCGCCCTTGCGATGCTACGAGAGATTTTGCCACTCAGTTGTATTTTCCAACCATAGAGGGGACTTTAAAGATGCTGATAATCCTTGCCATTCTCTTCCTTTTTTTTTTTATAATAAGAAAATAGATCGTTTTAGTTTCTCACTGAAGGCTCTTCTCCCGCTCCCGTTACCTCTTGGCTGCTCTGATCTCCAATGCAGGTACTGGAATTCCCTGAGGAATCTGGTGGTCTCCTTGCTGAACTCCATGAAGTCCATCATCAGTTTGCTCTTCCTGCTGTTCCTGTTCATCGTGGTATTTGCTTTGCTGGGGATGCAGCTCTTTGGAGGACAGTGAGTCTAATCAATCGTGGTCCTGTCAGGGGTTATCTGAAAGCAATCACCCGCACTGCCCAAGGGGGAGGGGGGCTGCAGGGCTCCTCATAGCCCCATCCGGGGTGCAGACGTCGGTCTTTCTGGGCTGCTGAGGTGTGATCTCTGGTTTATAGGAGAATTGTTCCCGTTCTGGTGTTTTTTTTCTGGAACTCTTTCTAGTTGCTATAGTTCAAAGTTCCTGTATCATTCTATAGGCCCCATGTACACCCAGACCTCTGAAACAGGACTGAGGGGGGGCAGCACTTCTGCTGGGAGGGGAAAGGCAAATTATTTTCCTCAGAGCCAGGGCAACAGGATTTATTTTTTTTTTTACTTAGAATATTTTTGTGCTGGAAAACATAGTTTTGTTGAATCTGTTTGTTTTTTGCCAAGAAATGTCAGTTGTGATGAAAAGAACAATCACAATATCACCATTCAAACTCAAGTGTGTTTTTTGAAATGAAATAACTTTTTTTTTTTTTTTTTTTTTAAAATCAACCACTATTTTATGTCAAAAAATTTAAAATTCAATGACCTACTAAGAGGGCCATTTCAATTGACTTCTACACTTGAGAACAAAAACTTCTTGGAATGGTTTGTTCCACAAAAAGCATTTGAGATTTTGATTGTTCATTTTAATTGTGGATGAAAACGAATTTCAAAGCATCAGAATTTTCTCCAGGAATAAAATGGAGTTTCTGCTAATAGTTCTGTTAAGCAACTTCTCAGACGCCGTGTTCCCTGCTGCGCTTGCCTGGGGTATTATTGCCAGGTGGAACAAATGTTGCTCTCTGACTCCGGTTACAAGGTATTATGAGACCGCAGGAGCTTTGCTTGTCCCTTATTGCTCTTGTTTTTATTTCTTCTCTCTAGATTCAATTTCCAAGATGAAACACCAACCACAAATTTCGATACCTTCCCTGCCGCCATCCTCACAGTATTCCAGGTAAAGCCATCCCTTGTCCCGAGTGAGCATTAGACAGTAAATTACTGAGCATCTCTTCCTGCTTATGGGGAGCAAAGAGGTCCCCATAACCCCCGTGGAATTTAGGATAGAAGTCGTCCTTCCTTCTCAGGTGTTTTGCTACGCTGACTAATCAAAGCATCTTTAAAAATCAATGCCATAGAATTAAGGGAAACTAGAACGAAAGATTTTTTGCTAGGAAAAAAGTATGGATAAAATACATGTTTCTGTGCCGACCATAAAGGCTGTGTGTGCCCAGGCTGTCATCTTCCCAGGCCCCTGCCCGGGGCTGCGCGCTGCCGTGGCAGCACTGGCTCGTGCCCCGCTGCATAAATCGTCCCACCAGAAATCCTACAGCCAGTGAGTGCGTGACCTGTTTCACTTTCTCCCGCGGTTGCCATAATTTAATGAAGAGAGAAGCCTGAGCTAGCTCCAGGCGGTAGGGAAATAATGTAGCATTTTGCACAGTAATAGCTCAAGATAAGATAATGCTGGATAAGAATTACAATCAATGGGGGAGCACGGAAAGAGGCATCAGCCTTGGGCGAGTTCCTGTGATGGCAGGAAGAAGTCTCAGTTCTGGCGGATGCAGTGTTCAGATTTAAGAGCCTAATTTTGCATGCAGCTGTTCTCTGCATGCCTTTTTTAAAAACAGTTATTTCAGATGTGTCAGTAGAGATTTAGGGAAGCTGCACCCTGCTCCGCGTGCAGGTAACACAGGTCCATGAAAGACTGCCTGGCACTTGTAGCGTTGTCCTACACAAATTTTTGATGTGGGCTCAAGCCAAGACTTGCAGGAAAGGAAAAAACCAAACCAAACCAAAACCCCAAAGGTTTGATGACAATTTTTGGATTAAAACAGAAAAAGAGTCTAAAAGACAATGAGTCCTGTGACCTCTGCTTAAGCAGCTTCATATGGATATTGCTTCTCTCCAGATGTGAAGCAGGTTCAGTACCTCGCAGGATATTGCAAATCATGGTAAGTTAATATTTGCATAGTATTTTAGTACTCATCAAAGAAAAGGCTTAAAGAAACAGAAAGGTATTGCCACAGAGCCGGAACTGAACCTGAGTCAGGCTCCGGATATGAGCATCTGGAAATTTTGATGTTATTTTGCTTTGAGACTATAGCTGTCTCTTGAGAATACTTAGCTGAAATATTTCCTTTCTATTCCTGAGATAAATACCCCTGTAACATAGTGGCTGTGGGATGAAGGAAAACACTGTTGGTTTTATGACATTTGTCTAGAACATCAGAGCTATGAATTAAAACCAGCAAAACCATCAGCACTGAATTAACTCAGTCCAGCCTCGCGAAGGCATTTTGACAACCTCTGCTCCCAGTTCGTCCCCACCGCTCCCCTGAATTGCAAATACCGTGTCAACATTTCTTCAGTATGGGCTTTGGATTCTTTTCTAACCTCGTCTTCCGTAAACTCAGGCGAGCCAGCAGGCTCGTGTAGCTGCTGCTCTAGTGAGCATTCAGTGAATCATCATCATTCAGTGAATGCATTCGATGTCTTGAACATTATAATAAAGCCAGATACACCCTGTCTGCCCCTAACCTCTTTGGAGATTCTTTAAGAAGCAGTCTTAAACAAAGTGTGCTGCAGCCTGCCTTAGCCCATTTTATTTCAGCAGACCTGGCTGGCTCATGGTGCTCTGTCGTGCGACTCCCAGGACACGTTTTGTCTGCCTGGCAGCTGGCTGAACTCAGTGCTGGGTGCAACTGAGCCCCACTCTCCCTCAATTCCCTTGGAAGAGCATCATGCATTTTTCTCCAGCTCCTGGCTCCCAAGAAAGTATATATTATATATATACACATGAAAAATAGCTAGTTGCATCTCCCTATTGCAGCAATCATTGAGCTGGGAGCGTGTACAACATCCATAAGCACAGAGACTCTATAAAGCAGAAAGACCTGTGTTAACTATACGTGCTCTGCTCCCTAAGAGTTGCTGTGTAAATAATTTCACGCTGCCAGCTGCTAAGAACTGGTGATGGCTGGAGGAGATGAGGAGTCGTGGAGGCAGGATGGGACCAAACCTCAGCTCTGCCGAGGCTTGGGAAGCAGAGCTGGCTTCGGTTTGATGTCCGAGTGCCCGGGCTGCCCTCGCTGACCTGTCTGCAAGATAGGACACTGAGCTGATGTGATTTTGCATTTACTCAGCCCTTCTTCAGGAAAACATCACTCTTTCAGGACAGCCCTTTGAAATGGTGTGGTACTGCTCCTCTGCAGCTGAGTGTCTCCCACCGTTAATGTGCTCATTAGTTCATTAAGATTTCCCAACAGCTCTTGACAGCTGTTTTTATTCCATCACCTGATGGCTCCTCAGCCAAGCCTAAGTATTGAATACTGAGATGCACTGGACAAAACATTCATTTGGGACAGCCAAAAGTGGTTTTGGGCCCAGGGAAAAACAAAATGTTTGGGCTTCACCTTACTCCAAAGTCCTCATCACTTGCGCCCTTCCCTCTGCAATGCTCCTTTTCTCACCTGTAGCAAGAAGTTCTTACAGCATCCCTAAGTGGAGATTTTATAGGGCAGAAAAACTTTTATTCACTGCACGTGCTCTGCTCCTTGAGGGCTGATACCTAATTGCTTAAGTAATTCCTCCAGCTGATGGGTGACAATGCAAACAGTGGGAAGGTCAAGGTGTCTGTCCTCTTGCCAGGGCCTCAGAGAGCATCCTCAGCCCTGCCCAGGCAGGCTGGTTAGTTTAGAGTATTTATATCTCTGCAAAAGTTCCATAAAACATTTCTTTTTTTCCCCCTTTAAGTTTTTGTTCCACTTCCAAAATAATCCAATTGAATTTTTGAACCCAGACCCCAACCTGCTGGACTTGTTTACGTGCAGCCTGTAATTTGTGATACCTGCAGCTCCTGGTCTTCTGCAGGGCATGGAGGTGTTCCCACCAGTTTCCATTTCCACAGATGTTTGTGTGAACAGAGATCACTTTACGGTTATTCCCAGAAAGCAGGAACAGTTGTGAATTAATGGAAATGATGTGAATGCAAGTTTGTGAACAGTATTTCGCATAATTGAGTGCCAGAGTTAAAAGCCCCGTGCCCTGGTTCATATTCTCTGGTGTAAATCCAGAGTAACTCCAATGGTGTGAGTTAGGCTGAATTCTGGTCTCTGAATTATTTGAGACCAGATTCTGCATTTAGGAAAGAAGTTTGTGTATGCACTGTATGTCCTTGTGTCTATACTTGCTCTTAGCCTATTCCTGTCATCAGCACCAACCCTGAAGCAAGAAATTTTCCCTCTATCAGCAGCTGATGACTAGCCTGGAATTTGCAATTGTTTCGAGCATACTGCACGCACATGGGACTTGATTACTACAATACACATCGTGCTTTGGGCTTTTCTGGTTGTTTTTTTTTTTTTTCCCCCTACTGAACACAAAGACAACTTCCTATTTAGGAATTTGAGCTTCACATCCCAGTGGGCCTGTTTTAATGTACTAAATCTGACTATCGTTCGACTCTGCCATGGCAGGCAGATGAAGTGCTGATCTGCCCAAAATGTTGCTGTGTTACAGTCATTGGTGAAAACCAGGAATGGCAGGCAATTCAGGCTGGTGCAAAATTAGCATCTAGCATGACAAGGCTTATTTGAGTCTTAGGTGTTTTCACTTCTTATGATTAGTTTTTCTATTATTCATGGGTTTGCTAATTAGCCTCGGGTCAGTATCCAGAGCCTGCAGCCAGGACAGCTCTGCAGAGCCAGGCTGCGGTTGTGCTCGCCTCCGTACAAGGACGCAGGAGGAACAATCTCCCCTTCAAACTCCTCTCATCTGTCCTCACTCCCACACATTTGGTTATTGCTTCTGCTTAGGGGTTTTGTGGGGGTTTTTTGTGGTTTGTGGCCATCTGGGTGGCTGGGGGTCCTTGGCAAGCAGGAAGCCTGGAGAAGAACCCGTCGTGGTGCAGACCCCTGGCAAACCGTGCAGGTGTGCCTGGCATTTGGAGTCATGTTCACGCATGCACCAGCTGCAGCAAGGCTGTCTGCAGCCCTGAGGAACAGAGGAACAGTGGAAGGGAGTTGCAGGAGTTTTTCCTCCTGATGCGCAGTCACTCGGTGCGTACAGAGTGCGTGGGTCGGGGGGGAGCTGAGCAAACCCTTTCTGGATGAAGTGAAGGAAAGGAGTTGGTGCTGGCAGAGGTCCCACTCAGGGCACTGGGCTTAGAGGTCAGAGTTCTGTTAGGTCTGTGGGAAATGCCATGCATGGAGCTGCTGACACCTGGTATCTCTGCATGACCTAAAAATGGAGAGGGGGGAGAAATTTTGTTGGGGATGAAGCGTTGGAATGTGGCTCTTGCTGCCTCCGCCTGCACGAGAGCCTACGGTCAGAGGTGGGCAGCAGGCATGTAACCAAGACGGGGCAGGAATGGGGCAGCGGTCCTCCCTTACCAGTGGTCCTCGCTCTCACCAGCAGTCCTCACTCCTCAGCCCGTGCCAGAGGAGAAAGCTCTATCCAGCCTGGGGTGAGACCGCCCAGGGCTGGGGGTTTGGTGTCGCACACTGCAGTCTGACACACTAACGTGCTCATCCGTGTTCCTCCCAGAGACCAGTCCTGGATTGCATCAAGCTGCCTACCTCCCCCAGACCTCACCTGCTTTGTCTTTCCTTTTAGTCACCCTTTCTTCTTCTCTCTTGAATATTCCTGTGCAGATCCTGACGGGGGAGGACTGGAACGCGGTGATGTACCACGGGATAGAATCGCAGGGTGGTGTTCGTTCGGGGATGTTCTCCTCCATTTACTTCATTGTCCTGACGTTGTTTGGTAACTGTATCCTTACACACATTGCCTTCTGTTAGTGGCACAGTGTGCCACACACCCTTCCTGAGGTGCTAGAAATATCCAGTTTTGTTTAAATTCTCACAGCCTTACTTACACTTTTTAAAACCAAATCATTACTATAACTTTGCTTCTTGCAGCACCCGGGGTAAGAGGTGTAGGTAAGTTGTCCATGTTGGTGTCACTTTTCTGATGGCAATGTGAGCATAGTCTTAATTCATTTTAATTTTCATGTTTTACTTTAAAAATGGCCTATTATGAGTTAATTTATGTTGTGGGAAAATCATAGAATCCCGGACTGGTTTGGGTGGGAAGGGACCTCACAGCCCACCCAGTCCCACCCCTGCCATGGGCAGGGACACCCTCCACTAGCCCAGGTTGCCCAAAGCCCCATCCAACCTGGCCTTGAACACTGCCAGGGAGCCAGGGGCAGCCACAGCTTCTCTGGGCACCCTGTGCCAGGGCCTCAGCACCCTCACAGGGAAGAAGTTCTTCCTAATGTCTAAATCTCCCCCCCTTATGGCCTGACACACGAAGTCACTGAAGATGTTTTGTTCTTTTAGTTACGAAAATCTCTTGAGAAGAGTAGGAAACCAGGAGCTTGTGTCCCCCCCAAATGTCTGCTGAGGAGCCAGCAGCGCTCTGACGTGTGTTATGTCCCCAGAGATGTCTAAGGAGGGAAGAACGTAACATTCACATGGCGATGGGATTTGGAAAGGGAAGTTGTATTTTATACAGAAATGAGCAAAGAGTTTCTCTGACCTAACAGCTGGGTGTGATTAGAAGACCCAGCAGAGCAGAGTAGTTGTGATGGCTCTGTCCCTGCTTCATGATGGAGGCTGCTGATGGGCTGATGTTGCGTAGCATTGCTCACAGTAACTAGGTACAAAATTGTTGGTGTGAGATGTTTGTTGGCTGCAGCCACAAGCTGTGCGGAGTCATCATCAACAGAGCATCCTTAAAAATGGAAACTTAAAAACTGTTGCATATATGAGGCAGCCCGGCTGGTTTGTTTGTTCTGTAAAATGGGGATAATAACGCTGAGCGTTGCCGCTCTGCTTGAGAGTTCTCTGGAGGGTTTCCCAGCAGTGAGAACCTTCTTGCTAGCTACAGTCCCAGCACTGGTCTTCTAGGCTTGGGCTGGCAGCATCGGCTGGGTACCTAGGAGAAAGGGAAGGGTATGTGGGGGGCAGTACTTGTGCTAGAGACGTGGAGTTGTTATAGACATAGACCCTTTCAGCTGGGGGTCAGGATGAGAAGAGATGGGACGTCAGTGCGTACGTGGCAGGGCTCCGTCCCTTTGCTCTGTCTGAAATCTCCCCATTAGCACGAGGAACCAAGACAAGGAACAGCGGAGCAGGCAACGTGCGAGCGGTGCTTGTCACACAAGCGTGTCTCTGCGGGTTTATCCCGTTGACGTGCGCTGTCAGACCGGAGCAGCCGTGAGCCTGGGCTGGCTCGGCAGCTATGCTCAGCCATGCACCTCGTGGTGGGCAGCATGTCCCCTTCCAGAAATATGAGGCTTTGGAAAACTGGGTCAGTGGAGAGCTGGGAGGGAGGGAGATCTCTAAATCTTCAGGGCTTGGTATTTGAAAATGAGATTAAGCTATAATCAGGCTTGACAGCAGGGCTGAGAGAGAGACTTTTAACCTTAGAGCAGCTATGATCCAGCATTTTTGAGGAACAGGATATAAATTCCCTTCTTGCACCTTTAATCCAAAGAGGGGGCTTCTCCCTTATCCTTTGGTTTTCATTAAAGGAAAAGAGCAGGGGATGCTGAAGAGGAGGGAATAAGGACCAGCTTCACCTACTGCCACTGCCATGAATTTGGTGCTTACCTCTGCTTGCCCTGGCAGAGTGGTGAGTCAAAACCTTACCCACATTCTCCCCAAATATCGTTCTGGCAGAGACCAGCTGTGTTGTTTTCCCTTCTGCTGTGCTGCTGCCGAGGAGAGCTGGGAGGTGGCTTTCCTGGCTGTTTCCCCGGGACCCTCTCCACTGCCCCCCTCATCCCCTTTGCCCCCAGTCGCATGCTGGCAGCACAGGTTTAGCACAACCGGAGCACTCTTTGGGGCACTATCTCTGCGTTTAGCAAGGAGGATGTGTCAGGTGTCATTCTCTAATTCTCCCTGAATCCTGCAGATGGGGGTGAGTTTCGTGGAGGTGGGTTTCTGTGAGCACAACGTGCAGAGACACGAACAGTAACAACACTCAGAAACCCTTTTACAGTGTTCTAGAATTCTTTCACCAGCAACTAGTGATCAGAGTTATAAACCTGAAGGAAATCTATTAATTTCTATGGAGATTTTTCATCCCTGTTGGAGAATTAGAGACCTGGATCAGATTGTCCCTGTAGAAACTTAGTCTGAGAGCATCAGCCGCTTTCACAGAGAGCTTGTAAGAGCCTCTTGGCATCGCACGTGTACCTGTTCACCTTCACACACCGTGGGCAGGTGGGGGGATACAGTGCTGGAGGTTGTGGTGGAGGATGAGGGGTTAAATATTTCCTTGCCTATTTACCGTGGGAATTGCAGCAATAAACCCACTAATGCTTGCACTGATATTTCAAACAGTATTTTGGTAAGGTCACTGCTACCCCTGCTTTTCACTAGCTACAGTTTTGATGCTGAGAGCAAGCAGCAGGCAGTCATTTATCTCTGGGGAAAAGCTGAACTGTGTGACTTACCAGGGACTTCAGTTATAACTAGCTGTCAAAACATAACCAGAAACGTCTGAAAATAAAGTTTAGTTTACCAGAAAAGACCAGTCCTGCCTTTTTGTGGGAAGTAAAATAGTTACTAATGTTAATGATGCTGCAGTGCCCCTGCACTGTTAAAGACAGGCGAGTGTGCAGGGTGAGGTACGTGTCTGAGTCTCGAGTTCACCTTCCCAAGGAGAGCCCCACAGCCCAAGAGGACACCCTAGAGAGAACAGTCCAAGTTGTTGATTAGCTTGATTATAGATTAGATTAATAGGAACTGTCTTTTCAGCTCTAACTTGAGACTTGAACATTACAGTCACGCTCCCTTTCACAAAGATTTTCCCCCTCTGCAATGCAGAACTCCCTCCAAAATCTTTAAAAACATGCTTTTTTATGCAGAGGATTTTTTTTTTTTTTCATTTGTCAAGTGTGGATTTGCCACCAGCCCTCTCTGCACCAGCCCTTCACTGTGGCTGAATTTCTTACGTGGGACTTTGGTGTCATTTTTTTGTATCACTACCATTGAAATTGGTCTTAACCCACTCCGGAGGCTGATCAGTCGCCATTGAAAGGCATTTCGATTTCTCTGCTGGGACTGGTTTTATTTTTGGGTAAAAAAGATTTCTGAACATTGGCTTTTGTCGAGTTCATTTTTAAGACTTTAGATGAACTGGATTAAATCTTGTTAGAGAACCAGCAATGGCGATTTTGGGTCAGCTTGCAAAACCTGCTCTTTTTAACCATGAGGGACTCCTTTCCTTTTCCAAAGCTGCTTGGAGCATTGTAATTTTTCTGTTTCACAGAGAAGAATGGTGGTTGGGTGCCAGCTTCCCTTGCTTCTTGCTGCACTCAGTTTCTTTGAATCCATTTACTTTTTCAAGGGACTATTGCAAGCAAAAGATCCAGAAACTTTGTTTTTGTAAGTCAGAAGTCTCTCACGTTACGTTCCCAGCTCCAGAGAGTCTGTGTGGAGCCAGAAATGGTTTAATGAAAGTAGTATGATTAGAGTAACAGCAGGATTTGGCCCATTTTCTAGGAAATTACACCATGCCTGTGTTCATTGTTATCCAGTTAATTGATAAATTGATGCATCTGTTGAGGAAAGAAAAAGAAAAAACCCATGAAAAACTGCAGAGGAGCCTGAAATGAGAAGCTGCGAATGCCTGGAGCTTGCTGCCCTTCCCCGTGCCCTTAGCTGCCGGGCAGGAGAGCCGTTCTCGGCACCAGCCGCCGGCTCAGGGGCCAGCGAGCTCCGTGGGTCTGCCCGGGTTGTACAGCCTGGACCGGGGGCTGGAGGTGGGTGATATTTGGGAATCCCTGAGCTCTGCAGAAAGGGCTGAGGGACCTTTCTTGGGGCAGAAACACCCCATTCTGCCAGATTGGGTCTGCTTGGAGATGGATCAAACCAGCCTGATCTGTTAAAAAATTAATTATATTTCCAGTGGTTGATTATGTTACACAAGACATTTTCAGCACGTGTGTAGGAGGCAGGGTAGGAAGACAGTTTTATTACTGAGATGCTTATTCCCAGAACAGGAGGCTTGGAAGCATTTCCAGTGTGTTGCAAGCACCCCAGAGGAAGAAACCCAAAGTGCCGGCATCCCGATGGTGCCAGGGGCAGAAGTGCCCCAGCCCCCCTGCCTGCACCCCCAGCCCCCCCTGGAGTGACAGTCCCCTCTTGCCAACCCTCGGTTAAAAGGAAATGGGGAAATTAGTGTCTTTGCAGATGAAAAGTTGATTGAGCTCTGACTCCAGCGTGGGAGGGAGGTGATCATTTGAGCAGCATCTTTCCCTTTTTCTTGTTCTTTATCTGCTGGGCTCTGTGGGATTGAGGTGCTCCCACCCCGCGCTCCTCGCGGTCCTGCTGGAACAGAGGAAGGAGCGATTGATGGCCATCACGTTTCAAACCTCTGTCTGTCCCAGAGGAAACATCTTCACATGATAAAAACCTCCATCCTGTGTTATGTGACACAGAGAAAACCTGATGGATGACCTGGCCTTTGCCTGGAGAAGCCCCAGGTTTCTGCATTCCATCCCCTGTGGGGTTTGGTAGTCTGGATGCAGATGCATCCTAAGAGATTAAATACAACTCCTGCTTTCCACTGTCACAAGCAGAGTCTCCAGTTTTGACAGGCATTCAGGCTCTGGAGACGCCCGTCTCAATGGGAATTAGAGACATGAGCGTCTGGTTCTGAAGTCTTGGCTGAATTATGTTTGGTGAAAGCTCTTGAGAGGGAAAGCAAAGCGGCCTTGAGCTGGTTGTTTGGACCAACTTTGGTCCCTGGCCACCCTGGGAAGTCTCCTGAAGCCGTGCCAACGTGTGGCAATGGCTCTGCAGCCAGCAGTGCCCGCAGCCAGCGTGCTGGAGCACGAGGATTTCTGGGCACGCTTCTGTTCGGCAGAGACAACTGCGGCCGATGAATCAGCCTTTCACCACTCCTGGCTCCTCTGTTTATAGAGAAACCTCAGATGCATCCTCCAGGCATCCTTCTGAGAAATGAAAAACAATCAAAGGGGCACCGAGGCCAGGGTTTCCCAAAATCTCCTTGCAGGCTTGCCAGCACCCTGGGAGCTCACGCCTCACCTCTCCTCCCCTTGCTTGAGCGATCGCATCCAGGACGCCGCCCCCGTCCCGCAGTCCTGCTGTGGCTGCAGCATCGCTTTGGGCCTTGCTTCCAACGCACAGACCAAAACAGGGGACACCTCCAGTCATTTTCTGTTGGGTTGATTAGCTGCCTAAAGGTCCTGTGATCATTTCACTTGGTTTATGGGGACCTGCATCTGGTCCCAGACTCATATTTGGCTCCGGTGAGGACAGTGCAATACAAAGACGGTAGCAGCGCATTGCTGTTAAAGCCTTTGTGAGTCTCCAGAGGATAAAGACTCGTGAGATCAACTTCACGCTTGTGTATGTTCATATTTCGAGGAGCAATCATAGGTTTACGCAGCCATGGAGTGAGTGACTCTCCTGTCACCAGGTAATGTGGGAGAGCAAAATGCATTTTCTTCTTGGAGAGACTTGGTTTTGCTTTGCTTGCTCTCCTTTCATATGCAAAGGTATCTGATTTACAATTGTTTTGGGACTGTTTTGCAGATGCGTAGCTGGAATAACAACAATAAAATTTATGAAGGGACAAGTAATAGCTGAAATCATTAAATGGAAAAATGAAAATAAAATATGAATAAATAACTATAGGGAAATGTTATGTCTTAGTGATATAATGCAGTGCTCTGCAGAGAGACCCAGGCTAGCGTGGGCACTGGCGGTTGTTTAGCTGGGGTATGTGCAATTTGGCCTGGACTAACGGCCCGTTTCCTGGCAGAGCTCGTTAGCTCGGGCTGGGTGTCCTGCTAACAGGCTCTTCTGTAGCTGTGCTCTGCATGATGATGCAGCATTCAAGATAGAGGATGTCCTCGGTGGTTTAATTGTCATATTGACTTCAGTGTGATATGTCATGATAGTTTCCTCCCAACAGTATGTAATGCAGCAGTGATCTAAGCGTAACTTTTTCATGGTACCCAATGCCTTTATATACCTATATGTTTATATTATGCAAATGGTGACTTTAAAAGGACCAATTTCCAGGAGCTCTACTGGTTGTCCTTTTAAACAAGAGGGAAAAATGAAGGTGAAGTCCTCTGTGCCTGTGTGTACGGGCAGGAGTGTAGGTGTGGATCTTCTGGAAAGAAAAAGCAGGGGCTGTTGTGTCTCTAGGACCACCGCGTGGTCCCGTACCATTTGCACCTATAGCGTTGTAAAGCCCATCTGCTCAGCACGCGTGTGCATCCCACCAGGGATATGTGCTGGGGAAGAGACAAATGGATGTCCAGCACCTGCTGTGCTGCAGAGCTGGCTCCCAGCAGAAGTGGGTGAGCTAAAAATGAAGGCAAAGCAGTGGTGCGGGGGGTCAATCCGTAGTAGACCAACGATTGCAAGTGGGGAAAGAAGGGTAGTGGCAGCAGAAGGGAAACCGTTCATTGTGTTTGCTGTGTGAAGATTTTTTTCCTTAGCTGCTCCCCAAAAGATACGCTCCTGAATGTCTTCTTGGCTATCGCTGTTGACAACCTGGCAAACGCCCAAGAGCTGACCAAGGTATGTACGAGATTCCTCTTTCTTCAAACTTGGACCTCAGACCTAGAGCACATCTTACTGACCCTTCCAGACACCCTGAGATTTTCTCCAGATCCTGTTCATGCCGTACCTCTGTTTACCAGTTTGTATTGCACAGACCCCTGTTAGGGACCTGGAGGTTTATTCTCACTCAGGCTTGTCTCCATGAACTCTTTTGTGTTCCTTAGTTTCCTTTTATCACAGAGTGGGCAGTGGGCATTGCTCATCTCGCTGCTGCACGGAGGTGCACAGGCATTGGTAGCATTTGCTGTTTTCAAGAGCAGAGGCGAAGCAATTAACAGGTTTTGGCTGACTTGAAGCTTAGACATGGGGAAACGCAGGTGTTGTATTGCTGCTTTTGCTGTCTCACACTAATGTTTGATACCTTGCTGAGTTTCGGGATGAATCAAAGAATTAACATTCTCCAATCAACTCCCTGGAAAACAACTTGCAGAGGCTATTGTGAATATTCAGTGAGGATGTTATAACCTTCCTGCCTCTCACCAGGTGCAAGAGAAATCTGAGGCACCAGCCCAAGCGCAGGCAGAAAGCCAGGTCCTGCCAAGAGATGGAAATGACACCGATGTAACTTTACTGTATGCGCAGATTTGTATCAGAGCATTCCCTATAGGGAAAATCTTACAGCCTCCGTATCGCACAGGAAGGATTGCAAATGCTGCAGTTTGTATTCATATTATTACATACTTTTCACTTCTCATTGTAGCATAGTCAGTTGTATTTATGAGGCAGCGTTAGGTTCTGTTTGCACATTCCTAGTTTGTTCTCACTGAATAAAAACATGCACACCCCGTGGCTGTGCTGCTGCCATCGCTGTAAGTCACGCGGACCTGCTAGTGGCGAAAGAAGCACCGTATCCATCATAGCTGTTATATTTTATAAGCTTTAATTTATATACTCCTTATAGGGTAAGAGAATTGCTAACCATGTGCTTATGCAGCAGCTGGCAAGGATGCTTTCTCTTGTTAGAGCTCTAGGAAGGTGCAGTAGTTCGTGGATATGTGATGCAACACCAAGCTCAGGAGCACAGAGATTTCTAGGAGTTTCCTACCCCACTCCAGCTGCTGAAGCCCAAAGCAGCCAACCGTTCCCAGTTAAAATCCATGTCTCTGTCGCAGCTGAGCTTCTCTTTACCTACTCTCCTTCTCTGCTGTGGAGCTGTGTGACTGGCTTCAGCTTCCAGCTTTGACTGGAGCCTTGTTTGCTGGCAGCTGATACCCAGCACAGACCATACGAGAATGCTGGCGGCTCTCTGGTGTTTCATAAATGTTCCTATGTCTCTGAGACCCTGTTCTGCATCCCTCCTCTCTTATAATGCAGCTCAGGGCTGTGTTTAATGCCTCTCAGTGGGTTTGGTTTTTTTTTCTGGGAAGTTTTTCCCTTACAGCAGCTCAGCTGTTTCTGTGCTTCCTAAAGCCCACAGAAATCTCCAGCCCGGAGGCATGCATCTTCCCCACCTGTTCAGGAGATTTACAGGCATCCCTTGCAGGTACTGAGAGGGAGGATCGCAATTCTTGGATAATGAAACTCATCCTACTTCTTTCTTAATTCTTGTAGTGCTTTCTTGTGAATATTTCAGCAGCTGACTGGGATGGTTAGAAACCTGACGATGTTGATGTTTAAAAGATACAATTAAATGTGGATGGATTCAGCAGCATTGACAAATCATAAAGCTTTTTGAGAAACTCTTTTTTGCTTTAATTTTATTTATGATCCCCCAAAATCACTAAGGCTTTCAAAAGAAGAGGAAAAAAGATAAAAGTAATTCAATTACATAGCATACCTGCAGAATGAGGGATTTATTGCTAAGTAAATATGATCATGCAAAACCAAAAATGGCCCGGAGATATAATTAGGTTACTCAGGAGTCAGTTGATCTCAGGAGATTCTTGACATTTATGCTGTAAAACTAATTGAGATCAGTACTGCATATAATGTGGGAAAACCATGAGCAGTTTGCAACTGCCTCTATTTTGGAAAGACAGAACTTTCCAGCTAACCTTCAGGACTGAAACATTTCAACCAACATTTCCACTTATGGATGCTAATTTGGACTTCTTTTATCATGGCATTTGAACATTTCTCAGTAGCATTAGCTGGGCCTTGTGACCTGTAACAGAAGTTATCAGAATTGTAACTATATTTAACTTGATCATCCGATGTCTGTTACAAAACTCACCATTACTTTGGAATGACTCATTCTGGGGGGAAAAAAAAAAATCATCATCTTTGCTTTGAGTATAGAAAGAATCTGTTCTCCAACCTCCACGTCACTGTCCCCAGGTCTCTCTCCTCCTCTTCCTGTGCTGGCTCTCCCTTACCACTGACTTAAACTCTGCCAACTTCATTTCTACTGATTTCTCAGAACTGTCCTGAATCTTTTTGTGTTTTCTACCCTCTAGTTTTTTTCCTATATATTGGCAGGTTTTTCTTCTTGTTCACTTAGGGTGGAATCTAAAATTGCCCCCAAAATTTGCTTTTAAAATCTTCTCTCCGCTGAGCATCCCACGATGTCGCCGGTGACACGCAGCAGTTCATTCTTCATCCTCATTAAACTGGCATGTAACGCCACCACAAGTGACCCTTTGTTTTCCTAAATATCCTAAAGCACAAAGTGTGTTCTCTGACCTCTGCGCACTGCGGGCAATCCCCGAGAAAGCAGCATAAAAACAGGCAATGTGGGATAGGAAGGATGTGTGATTTTTACGTAAAAAATATATAAAAACATTTTTAAAAAGTTGAGAACTCCCCAGAAAGAATGGACCAAAGTGAGCAGCAAGAGCAAGAGTCTAACAGCCGTGAAGACCCCTCCTCCTTCCCAGTGGAGAGGGCTTTAATTGGGTGAACTTAATAAAGAACAGTCAGCGTTAATTATGTGCATCGTTATGGGTAGCACCGAAGATGGGTTTTACCATGTGATGAACTGTGTGGTTTAAATGAAGATTTAGAGCTCTAGAAAACAGGAAGGAAACCTGAGAGAGAGATGACCTTATAGGCAGGGCCTTTATATGCACTTGACCCTATATAATGACAGTGACAGTCTGGGCTGTTGGCGGGAGGTGGGATGGATGGATGGATGGGTGGATGTTGCCATCGGCGCTCAGAGCTGGCTTCAGTTGTGCACCGTCACGCTTCAAGCAGAACAAGATGAGCCTGCGCCCCAGTGAGACCTCACACTGTAAATATCAGGCAAAAAATTAATTAATTTTTGTAGTGATCTGCAATCTCTGGATGGAAGGAGTTACAGAAATGTTATTAAGCAGTCATCTGCTAAAGACTGTTCTTGTTCTGAGTTAGGGACGGCTGCGTTTATAATGACAAAGGATATTTTCTGCTGTTACTTTGAAATATCGAATCCAGAAGAATTACAGATGCACCGGGGAGAATGGAGTTGAAGCTACAAATTTTAAAGAGATGGTAAAAACTGCACCTGGTGCTTTGGGTGCACAGAAAGGAAAATCAAGACCCTTTGAATGTATGTGATTTTAACACTGCTCGAGAGTCCTCAAGAGAAGAAACAACTTGAAGATACCTGCAGAATGAAAGGAAAACCTTGAAAGATGCCTTATTGGGGGCCTTATTCCTCAAAAGATTCATATTCTGCAGATACCCTTTATTTACAATAAGTTTCCAAATTAATGATAAATTTACTGGAAGTTTGCAGTTGAGAAATACTGACTTTGTGTAGTTGTTTAGAAGGGCTTTTTTCATGGCCTGTCTCGGGTTCTTTATTCACTAAAGTAGGAATTTGCTTGTTACAGATTTGCTAATATTTGGAAAGGAAAATAAAACCAACTTTATTGGTAGCAGATTTTTTAAATTAATTTCCTATAATTTCTCTTTTCTTGAAAAGGAGAAAAGGAAAACACTTTCAAAATTAACTCAGTTTAAGCAAGTAACACCAAAGTCAGAGCAAGGAATTACTTATGCATATGGTATTCAGGATGGATAAATCTATATGACTTCCTATTTGAAAGCTAGATGTCTTACTGTCTGCTTTCATTACTTTAAGCATAACTCTTTCATAGCATTACCTTTGAAGAGCAGAAGTAGACCCGTGGCATTTCATAAGATTTGACAGAAGAACCTGTGACTGCTCTCATCTTGACGTGTGGTTATTCCTTGAATTTGTGTGATGCTGACAGTGCCAAGTTTAAAGGAAGTTTAACCTAGATGACCATTGAAGATGAACCAGGCTGTTTCTTTGCCTTTTGTCCTCATCTTGTTGCTTAAGATCCTGTAGTTTTTGAAGTAGCATTTGAGCAGTATTTCTCTTGTCATTACACCATGTAGAAGGAAATAAATCACAGTTATACTTTGCAGGAACTTGCAATGCCAATAGAGGTTAAAAATCCACTTGATCTGGGGATGTACAGAAAGCACGAACATAACCATCTTTCTGATCTCTACTCAAGTCCACAGACTACATTTTGTCTCCTCCTTCCTCTTTTCACCCTGTGAGTCCTCAGTGATTCAAGTGAAATAAGTGGAAATATCTGGGGTAAAACTGGTGTAAGCAGGACCAGTCAAATCCTGAAACTTTCAGAAAAGTCACATTGGCCAGAAGTCATGAAGGATTTATAGACTCTTAGAATCCCAGACTGGGTTGGGTTGGAAGGGACCTCACAGCCCACCCAGTGCCACCCCTGCCATGGGCAGGGACACCCTCCACTAGCCCAGGTTGCCCAAAGCCCCATCCAACCTGACTGTGCCATGTCGCGGGGCGCCGGGGCCAGCCACAGCTTCTCTGGGCACCCTGTGCCAAGGCCTCAGCACCCTCACAGGGAAGAAGTTCTGCCTCACATCCCATCTCCATCTCCCCTCCTTCAGCTTAAACCCATTCCCCTTGTCCTGTCACTACCCTCCCTGACAAACAGTCCCACTCCAGCTTTCCTGTAGGCCCCTTCAGGTACTGGCAGGCCGCAATTAGATCTCCCCAGAGCCTTCTCTTCTCCAGGCTGAACAGCCCCAACTCTCTCAGCCTGTCCTCACAGGAGGTGATTTAGGAGCCTGTCTCATACATTTCAGTAGGATATAGGCTTTAGAGTGTTTTTATACATACAAGATCCAGATAAATGGAGCTCACTTCACCCCAGAAATGTCACGTTTGTGGTCAGGTCTCTCCCTGCTCTGTCGTGGTCTCCTACCTGAATGCTAAGTGACAAGAGGAGACCCAAGAGAGGTAAAAAAGCTTTGCAAGGGAGATGTGTTCTTGGTAACAATGCACCGAGCACTTGACCAAACCTTGCATTTCTCATCTTGACCTGCTGTTGCTGGCACCAAGGCCCTACTCGGGGGTCCTTGCAAGAAGTTATGAAATTTTGCCTCATTTTAATGAGTTTCCACTGTTTTTGCAGCATGGGGGTGACAGTCACCTATGCCTTGTGCCTTGGGGAGCTCTGATTATTGTTGTTATGTGATGCATGCTCTGATTTCTCTTGGTTTTCTGCACCAGGACGAGGAGGAGATGGAGGAAGCCACCAACCAAAAGCTCGCCCTGCAAAAGGCCAAGGAGGTGGCAGAAGTCAGCCCCATGTCTGCAGCTAACATTTCCATAGCCGCGTAAGCATGATTTTATTATTTGGGAACTTTATAATTTGATTTCTGGTTTTCAGTGTCAACATATGTCTATTCAAGTGGAGCATCCCATAGTACTCTGTGAGCCCTTCTATACCATCTCTGTTACTCACAGGGCTTTAGGTTGACTGAATACTTCAGCACTGATCACTTAACCATGAATTTAATTAAGTATTCCTTTTATTTTTGTTTTTCGTTGTAATGCATCATCTTCTGCATTGCTATAATTGTATTTTAGAAGGATTTTTTTTAAGCTGTCCTAGGATAGATTTCACCAGGTGTGAAGTGTTAACGTTTCAGTTTGGATTTTTAATTACAAGAGGTATGTGTGCATATAATGTATTAACTATTCTTTAATGATCTCTGCTTTGAGAATTTAAGTGTCAGGCATCCTCCTAAATATCAGACTGAATAATATGCTTGAACGCTCTTTTTCTGTTTGAAAGAGTGCTGGGTTGAATAAAATCACGTATGCGAACAGTCGCTGCTTTGTAGCTAGAAATATCAATTTGCATTTTCAGATGCAGGCTTTTCTGTGTGGATGTGGACATATGCACAGATTCTGTGATACTGGAATCCTTAGAAAATGTTGCCTTGGGGCTCACCTTTTCATATACACTGGTCTAAACTGAAGTGAAAAGTTGCTATGTAGGTGGAAATACTTGTCTGGATGTTGCTGAGGTCAGTGCAGAGTTCTGCCTGCATGGGATTATGGGCCTGTGTTTGAGACATGCCTACCTTGAATGGATTTACTAAAAAGCATGTTCTTATTAAAGGTTCATTTGCCTCTTCTGGAATTTTAGCATCAGGACTTCCAGCATCAAAAAAATTTGATCATGCGTTTTACTGAGAGCTGCTGATGTTTTCCAGCTCCCTTTTGCAGGGGAAACCTTCAAAGGCTGGAGAAGCTCAGGCATAGAAAAAGAAATTTCCTGTTCAATTTTATTCCAAAGTATCTGAAATACAGCAGGATCCCTGTTTGATCCTTCATTGTAAAGCTCTTGAGACCCTTGTTAGTAGGAGTTTAATCCACTACATCAAAGACAATACGCCAAATGGAGCCAGTTCATTATATGTGAAGGAAAAGAATATTATTAATTTGACTATTTTATTCTTCTTACCATTTTATTTTGCAATTACTGCTTTAATCAGCTCCTATTTATGCCATGTCTGTTTGTTGGTTTTGAATAGAATCCTTTTCTTACAATGATTTCCTGTCCAGTCTCAAAAAAGAAGTCAAATGAGGATATTTGCTCTTGTTCTTTGATGAAGTTCCTGGCACTGTTATTTTAAAATGCAAGATAATGATGCTTATTTTCTTCTTTTTTAATCAAAAGCATAGTGCATGTGAAGATTTCTTAGAAATGAGGGAAAAAAAGCCACTTTAATGGAGCTAAGATTTCACACTACATTGTTGGTTGCTTAAAATAACTTTATTCCATGATTTTTCACCAAGCTTTCACCTGGTTTTCAATATCACAGGGCCAGTTTTGTGACCACAATTGAAAGTGAGTACAGAATTGCGGATTTCTGCTTGTTTTATCTCAAATGTATCTGCCTAGATCCGTACCTGCCACATTTGTACAGGCAGATAATTAGGCTTACAAATGAACGCATTTGAAAGTGCAGTCAATCACTTCCACATCTACTAACCAAGGCAACATCGTGCACGCTGTGTGGGAGCCACCATCTAACAACCATTGCGTGACTTCTCGTTATCTCTGCCAGCAAGGTGCTTACAAGGTCACTCACAAAGCTCACAGGACTTTTGTCTGGAAAAAGAATGCGTTGAGGTCGATAGGTTGACGACCGAATGGATAATGACATAGAGAAGGCAAGGGAGAAAGTTAAATGTTTTGCCAGAGAGAAATCGGTGTATGGATGGATTGCTGGCTGATGATCCAAAAGATATTTAATGAATGCATGCTGAAGCAATTTGTTTAATACATAAATACATCCATAGTGAACTCCAAAGGGGCTTAGCAGCTACAGCTTTCAGATTTGTAGCACCTATCCCTTAGGTGTCTCTATCTAATACAGTAGAGCTGATGATAGGGACCCATGGTTGACAGCCAGATGCACCCCATTACTTCATTTCTTGTGGTCTTAAGCTACACAGTGGTCCTGAAGATGGAGCAGATGCCGTGTTGATGGCGAGACCTGTCAGATCAAGCCTCTGATGCACTTCAGAGCTGGATGCAATAAGAATAAAAAAGTGCTGGGCATGCTTGAAAATGGGATTTTTGGCATATGGAAATGTCACTGCAAAAAGCAGACGCTTGTAGAGCTTTTGTATCCCTGAGTGGGTGGTGAGCAGGGGCTGGGAAAAACTGGGACTGAGCTACCAAAGGCCTGCTGCAAAGGTGGGACTACTTATCAGTTTATGTTTTTATTTTCTCCTAAGGAATAATTTTTGTGGGTTTGTAATTTTATTTTATTTTCATAATTTCTGAAACAATAGGCAGCTATAGCATGGATCAGTGTTATGAAAACATCAACATTTTCTCCACCTGCATCAATCAAAACAGGTCTCTCAGGTGTTAGCAGGGGGCACCACGACTTGCATTTCCTTAGTCATGGTGTTCATGTTCCCGGTGTGCTTGTCCACCTCCCGCAGAGGTGATAAAATTGTCCTGGGGCCGAGTCTGGTGAAAAGTCATATCGGTTGTTCTGCTGTTTCACCAGGAAGGTGCTGTGCTTGCTGTTTTGCTTCTTTCCCTTGTCAGTCCTACATCAAGGGACTGTGAGCGTGTGTCTTCCCCTAAGCCTCCTTCCAGACCATCGCATACTCTGTAGCGTTGTATCTGCTCCTCCACCTCTGGCGTTTTTTCCTGTGTGAATACAACGTGCACGTGTGGTTTGTACGCTCCTGTGCCTGCAGTTTATCTGCACTGGTTCTTCTGCTCTCCTCTGCCATTCCAGCCTCTCTTCATAATTGAGCTCCAGGAAATGTTCAATTTATTGCATCAGTTGCAAAATGTAATTTCCTAGGCTTAAGAAACTGGTTGCTTATTTAGTGTGTCAGCCTGGGTGGAGGGTCCAAAGTGATACCTTCACCTTTACATGTGCAATAGGCTGCTGCGTGAGCCATGAATTTTTTTGTGGTTGATAGATGGTGAAGTGCTACAGTGTCATGGGGATTTCTTATAATAATATTATTACAGTGGCGTCGAGATGTCATCTGTCTTGCAACTGTCTCAAAATGCTTTATTACAATATTCTACCTGCATTTGGTTTGTAGCACCTACTTCATCAATCTCCCAGGTTTGTCTTCTGCTCCACCAAAGGAACTTAATGTGAACAGATTTGTCCGACTGTAGTTTGTTTTTTCACCTGGTGAACTCTATCCTGAATGAGCCTTTTTCTTTTGTGGTTTTTCAGGATTAAACGCTAGGATGGTATGTTGTTTTTGCCATTGTTGCAATGTTTGGTTTAAAACAGAACAGCTGTTTAACATGTGTTATTGCATTTTAATTTGAGTCCATTGTTTCACTCTTATTTTTGTGATTTTTTTTTTTGTGTGTGTGTGTTCTGTTTAGCATTTTCCTTGCTTTGTTGTTTCTGGAGGTGAGTTTCTGGGTTTGTTCAGTTTGCCCAGCATTGTCTTTAAGACCCTCTGTTTTGTGCAACATTTAAACCACTCAGCCTCTTGAACTGAGCGACTGGACAGACCGATGGGTCTTTAGAGCAAACCATTGGTGCAGCTTCCTTGGCGGCAAGAACAGAGGAGGTGGGGAAGGGCACAATTACACAGGCGATGGATGCGCAAAGCACTTTGCAATCCCACTGGAAAGGTGTCGGTGGAAGGGAGAACAGTCAGGCTCGTACCCCTGGGTGGCACGAAGACCCCAGGGCAAACACGGTTTTATTTTCTGTATTTGCCTAACCTGAAGCCTGAACTCCCCGCGTTTGGTTTCCTCCTCCGCCTTTTCTATTCCAGCCGGAGATGCACCAATGGCCCGTACAAAAGGGGCTGTGATAAGCACACCTGGCCCAGCACGGGCCAGCAGACCAGCCGGAGAGGACACAACCTGTGGCTCACCTGGTCACCCAGAGCCCATGTATTTTCTAGTGGCCTCTTCACCTTTTCTTGGGAAAAGTCTTAAAATAGCAATCACAAAAGCAAGCAAATGCTAAATTTGTAGGAACTTGCTAAGCAGTTATGCTGAAGTCATGCCAAGTGAAACGTTCTGCATTTATTACTTATGTTTTGTTTTTTTTAACTCCACGTAGTAATGGGTTACAGTTACAGCCAGACCCAGGGAGGTTATTTAAGCATAGGTTATTGAGTGTGAGTTCTGGATGGGAGAACTTCCCAATACAGTGGATGAAACTTTGTAGAAAGTGGCAGAGGCAGTTCATGCAATGTGGACACCAGAGCTAAACAGTGTCTATAGAACTGGTTTTCAAAGTTACACGTGCTTCCCGGGACAACCTTCCAACCTCTAAAGACCTCTTCCTCTCTCCAGGCTCTGACTGGTTTCTGCTGGTCCCTCACACGGTTGTTCAAAGCAGTTTACATTTTAATTGCGTGCCCACAGATGGGTACTGCCTGTAAATATCAAAGAGTTGACTATCAATTAGAAATGTGCCCAAGAGCAAATGCAGGTGGCACTTCATTTCACTGTGACTTCTCAGAGGTGTCTGTCCCTTTTGTACAGGTCTGGGGATGAAGGTGGGGGAGTTGCTCTGTTTCTCCAGGACATTTTCCATCTCAGAGGCTCCATATTTTCCTTCTGTCTTGGGAATACTGTGATCTGTTCCCAAATGCCTGTTGGGTTGTCAGTACCCAACAGGACCCAGCAAGAAGTGTGCCTGAACACCCAGCCCACGAAACGTCCTGTGTTGGGTGATGTGTAGACTAGAAGAGGTGTTCTTTTTTCTCTTGCTGGCTTGTGATTTCTTCCCTTTCTTTTTCCCCTGAAGTGTGTTGATGTGTGAGGTACTGTGATTCCTCCTGTTAGCTTACCTTTTTGCCCTTGCTG